TATTTAGCTATGTGGCTTTTCATTATTTATCTATGTTCACAGAACTTCCTAAGGAGTTTCTTTTTAATTTTCTCTTTCTTAAAGTTCTTTTTAGAAGTTAAAGTAGCTATAAAAGTAGTTTGCTTTTTCCTCAACCTTCCATTCCACCCCAATGACCTGGTCTTTTTTTGGATCCTGACCTTAAGGATAACAATATAACAAAAATGCTATTTTTCCTCCTCACAATAAAGATCACTTGAAAAGCTGGGTAAGGTCATTACCAGCACTTGAAAACAATGAATAGATGGCATGTATTTTGCTATCCTGCCCTTCCTCTGCCCGCATTATTTATCCATCCAGCTCTTCTACAGGATTTACTGAGTGCTTGATAAGACAAACACTGCTCAGAGCAGGAGATGTCACGGTGAGCAAACAGACTTGGTCTCTGCCCTCCTGAACTAACAGATTAGTGGGGAAGAAAGACACTGATCAAACAGTCAAACAAATCAATTACAGCTACGAAGGACAGGAAGGACCAGGAAGAAAAGACACACAGAGCCAGAAGAGCATACAGCAAGCGAGATTTGACCATGGGGTCAGGGACGGGTACTTTGAGGAAGTGACCTTTGAGCTGCTGAGCTCTGGGGACGAGTGGGAGTTAATCAGGTAATGGGGGTAGCACGGGGTATGGGATAAGTGGTCCGGCAGAGACAAGCATCTGTGCAAGGCTCTCAGATGGCCTGCTGTTGTTTCCAGAGCCACACACCAAGATATACTTCACTCTTCTTAGTTGCCCTATAGAAACTCGTCATGCCTGCTAAGGGAAAAAGAAAGAGGCCAGAGGAGCTCAAATACAGGCGACAAGGAGAAGAGGCGTTAGGAAAAGCTAAAGAGGTCAGTCAACAGGGCCAAACTATGCAGGGCCTGGTAGGACAGGATGGAATTTTGGTCTTTATATTTTAATTCTGAAGTATAATCTGTCTGGGACCCAAAGTGGCCTGTGATTATCTGGGTCAACTTGAAATACCACAGACAAGACCTTATTTATACAAAATGGCTAAAAAATAAAAGGCCTCTCTATAAGAGGAGCAGGAATACTTCAGTATTATAAAGTAGCTTACTAAATGTCTTTACTGTTCCCATTTACTCGTACTGAAAATAAAACAATACATTTCACAGAAAATAAGGAAATAGAGTACTTGGTAAACTAGATTTGTTTTCTCAGCTGAGTGACTGTTTAGCAGTACATTTCTCTGAGCTGTATCTACTTCCATTGAAGTCTGAGTTTATCTATGAAGTTTAATTTCCCAAATGAAAACCCATAACCTCTTCTTATAACTTCGTGTAAGAAAAGACTTCTTTACATGATATACCATCACACCACCTTGTAAAGTGGGCAATGTAAAATATTCAATTTGGTAAAGGAGAGAGAAATACCAAAGTCTGTAGTGACCTGAAATTGCTCTACTGTAGATAAAGACTGACAGATAATTTATGTGCTGTCTTTCTGAACACATAAATTCTATGTACTATAAATACTAATACTACATACTACAAATTGCCCTTCATCAAAAGGATTTTCTGGACAATCAGTTAATTGCTTAAAATGTTTGATACTTTAAAAACACATTAGCTGTGTGATCTTGGGCAAGTCATTTAACCTCTCTGTGTGCAACTCAGTTTTATCCCCTGTGAAATAGTGATGGTAACAATAACCACCTCATAGGTCTGAGGATTAAATGAAGTAATACATGTAAATTGCTTGAACAGTGCCTGGCACATAATAGGCACTCAATAAATGGTAGCTACAAAAATAAATAAATAAATGATAGCTATGAGTATTGTGTAAAAAGTATAAAAACCTGCTGTACAGACACTCACGGCACAAAAAAAACAAAAAAACCCCACATGTATATATAGACACACATGTAAGATATCATATCTTAAATTGGGGGGGCGGGGGACAGAATTTGGGAAATACACTGAAAATCCTGAATGCTGAAATGCACTTACGCTATAAGTCTCTGACCCTGCAGACTAGTGTGCTGTTGTAGCATCTCAAAGTTGTATTTCTCATCCGTAGCGTGCTGGTCCACTATGAAAATATCCTCTTTCAGCTTGGTTATTATAAATCCCAAGTTAAACTGACCAATGATTTCCATTTCAGCAAACATTGTTTTACTGCATGTAGAAAGCATTATAAGACATTTTAAAAGATTATTTTTCTGCTTACAAAATAACACTGTAATAAAAAAATACGAAAACAAAAAAGTCCCTAAGAATCTGATTTTCAAAAGATAACATTAATTATTCATTCATCCAACTCTCCGGAGATGACATTAGTTACTACTATTAACAATTTGGTATATATCCTTCTAAACCTTTGTCTACACATGATTTTTT